CGATTTTAAAGTAACTTGGTATTGCACGCGGACTGCTTGCGTGCAGCTCGTTGAACGCAATGCTCACATTAGGATTTGAAATATTTAAAATAGTTTTTAATTTAACTACGATTTGCTAGCGGTTTAATTTAGATGTTTGTTTAAGTTTTTTGGTAGTTTACGTGCATATTTATTACTCGTTTAAATTAAAATACACTTATAAATGTGCAATGGACTTTAAGTAACGTCTTATGACGATATGTAAAAAAAAAATTCTTTATTTGGCAAAACAAGTTTTTGGTTTATATTTATAGCTTACATTTGGTTGATATCATAACAAAATCTGGCGCTATTATTAAATAAGCAATGGAAATCTTTGCATGTTTGGACTCTTTATCCAATTAAGTAGAATTTACCAAGTCACATACAAGATTAACGAGTAACTGTTACAAAGTGTCGGGAGAAATCGAATATTTAATAAACCTTCAAACGTAAGTTGATGTACTTGGTTTGTTAAAACTCATCCAGTCTAGTCCGTTGCTAGGAATAAAGCATATTTGCAAAGGGTCAAGTACAATCTAGTACTAAAAAACTTGTCTAGACTGGTCAGCCATCCGTTTTACAATACCTGATTAAACTTTTCTTGGTATTGTCAAGGTACGGCCAACTGTACTATGGAATACCTCGGAACTAGTCTCCACAATAACGGTAACATCCTTGGATACTACTACTTTTTTTTCTTTATATACAGCGTGTTCATTAATTCTATACGTATGCAATAAATATTTTTGAAAGTCGTATAAATTACTTGTGTGAAATTTTAAATAATGATAAAAAAAATATCACACTCAGATCACTTAAATTAAAATACCAAGATTATACAGCATGTTGTTAATATATCATATAATGTTGGCTGTATTCAATTGTACGGACTACGGACCGGTTGTGGCGTGCGGTCATACTGCATAACGTCGACTCGAATAGCAGCTATTAGAATTATCGTAAAATAATAATAATACAACATTATATTCAATATTTATATGACGACTCAGAAATATGCAAATCTAAACTAACATTAATAATTCCATTGGATCGGACGTTCTTATAAATAATGCAACTTTCTGAACATCACTCAAATAAGTACTACACAAAACTGCTATTTACCTGTGGATTTTTAATTTAAAATAAACATTTACAGACAAACATTAAATCAGCAAGTCGTTTATTCTTTATAGAACGAGCTGAATTGACTTTTTTAGAGCTGCAACGAAGCTTTTTCGCTATTATTTTATGATCGTGTGTTCACATTTTAATATGCCGATGAACCGTCCGAAGGGGGATACTTAAATTTACAATCGATTTCATGACGTCACTTTTTTATACTGTTATATACACGAACAGTTTAGTTTATGATTTCGGTTGAACATCTACGAATTATTGTGATTTTGTACGGCTTCGTAAAATAGTTAAGACGGGTTTAGTAATGGGGAAAGGTTTCCCTGTGCCTACTGTGTAAGAGCGCGGCGGGTGTGGTTGGGTTCGAGTTACTGCCAGCTGCTAAACCAGTGAACTGAGACCGACAAGTTAAAAACAACTATTGTTAACACAACCATAACTATTGAATTTATTACAACCTCTAGTCGGCCTATACATTATCTAATAAGGATTCAAAAGGATGTGAGCTTCTCGGAAATAAAAATGGCCTTTCAAGTCTCTATTAGTATGTTAGTGGTCTACCATCGGCCGAACGTGCCATAGGTGTGAGTCACGTAACGGAAACGATCTCAACTTGAAAACGTTCGGCATTGGATACATTTTACATGACTCCTAAATAATTACCTTAAAGTTTATTGACTTTAAAGTAATATTAATACATATATACATATGCCCATATATTGTTTCACATGTAATGTATTTAAGCGCAAGGTTACAACATAGCTCGCATATTTTGCTAAGCGTAGCGTAAATTTAATGATTGTCATGAATTAAACCATTTATCAGAAAACATCTGCGCACCGAGTCGTTGTTTAAATTAAACTTGGCTGAACGACTGTTTCCCTTTACAAAAACTGGAATAAAATGACATCTTTACATTAAGAAAATGTTAATAAAGTTTTCTTCATTTATTTTTTTAAATATTTTATCTTTTTAGATAATTTCATGGATAAAAATGTAAGAGAATATTTAATAAACAAATAAAGATTGTTTGTTTGTTATCGTATTCCGTGGTTTCCAGTTCAGTGATCCTTTCGCCGGATCTTTCTCCATGTAATATTCGCTATTTTACGAAACCTCAAAGCGACGTCTTTGATTGAAACTTAGACAATGGAACTGAGACTTAAATACTTTAACAGTTTGTCGAGAGACTGGACTAAGACATTGGCATTCCGCCAGAGCCTCCGCCGTTGTTCAGGTGACTAGCTACCTACAAATTCAATAGATATGGTTACGATATCATTCGTAAACTTTTACGATATTTATATTAAGAAACAGATACTTCCAGTTGTTTAAAATTTAATTAATAAAAAATAATTAAATTAAATAAACAAAACCTGTTACCCTGAAATATTTGAACAGAATGCAATTTATTTTTATGAGACTTGTAAAGGAGTTTAACGCTGGCAATAATAAGTGCCCGCCGGCACAGAACAATGTTACTTTAAAACACGAAATCACGCCATGAAGAATTTATACAAACGAAAATAATATAACACAATCAGAAGTCATTATTTCTTATAATAATATTATATGATATAAATATAAGTAGGTTACTAAATCGTACATCGTGTGATGCATACTTATCTTATCACGCTTATCAAAGTTGATTGCTTTAACAGGTACTTTACGGTATGCTCAAACAAATGTAATATCATTAAAAGATTATTCTTCCTTTTGAAACGTTCTAAGAAGTCAACTTTAGAGAACTTTCCAATTAGTCAGCCAATGTAACCAACATCAGGGCCGCATAAATTTGCTTTATCTTAAAACAGGACGTTGGGTCGATATATTTTTTAATAGAAGCGGATATTTTTAACCACTCAAGTTCCGTCACTGAGAGGTGGTTAACGAAGCCCTTCAAGTACCAATATATTATTAGTTTAAGTACACCGTTCACAAGCGAATGTATTTAAAATTATTACAATCTAAATTTAGCTGTAGTGATGAATAAATATAATAGAGAAAGCCGAGAATACGGAGACGATTATAATAGATAAATAAAAAGTATACCAAACACTTCTCAAGACCTAAAAACACTATCTACCGCATGAAAACAGCGATTGAAAAGACGTTTTCATGTTGTCAATCAATACAATACAAAAAAAAAAACGAACAAAGTTTCCCGCGTCAAACTTCCGATAAGTTCAGAAACAGTTTCATAAGACAATACCTACATCATTCACCGCGTAATGTAATAAACAGAGCTGGCAGAAAACGGATAGGTATCCATTAGGTATCATTAAGGTGTTTTACGACCAGATTACTGAAAAGGATAACGCATTGGGACGATTCCAACTAAATCATTACACACCCGTAGGAGTTAGGACTATAAAAGCTTTACAGCAGAATCCGTGCGTAACATATGGGGAATTAACAGTATGTAGCGACGTTAAAATGTATAAAGCAAACAGACACTGTACGGTAGCGTGGTGAAAATATAACCCACTTATAAAGTAATACGATTGTAGGAGCTAATGCAATTAGAATGAAATAGGAATGCATATAACTTAGAACGGAACTGATAGTCGTGGACATAATCAATCAGTTACTATACTTGTAACCATTAAAGTGGTTATAAAAATGTATAAGGTATACTCTAATATAAGTTGATTACTTCAGATATAGTCATCTAATGTATTAAGTTTTTTAATGAGACATTTCAATCCATTTCATATAGGTAAGTTCACGAGGTCGACGGTAGGAATTTCTGAGTCATCATTGTTTATTCAAATCGTATTCTATCTGGACCTTGTAATCATCAAACTATAACGAATTATGTAATTATCTTTTTGTTACAAATTTAACAGTAAAAAATCATTTGTACTTGAATACATTTAAATTTAAATATTTGAAACTCAATAACAAAGTTCTCAGAATAAACAACAAAGCTTCTTTTAATCTGAGAAGTTTGTTATCACGCTTAAAAAACATCTAATAACTGACGAAGATAATATAAGAACAGTATAGCAACAGTGTGATGGTAATATAACGTTTGATTATGTTGACATTAAATGTTACAACACAAAGGTAAACAATGTTACAGAAATTAATAGTACATTTTGTAACATTGTAACATGTGTCTACTACATGGCGGAAGCGCGATGCACGACACGACATATAAATTGAGAAAAAATATCTTAATTTACAATATTTGTTTCGGTTAAATATGAAGGTATAATTATAATTAATAAGTTAATTTAGATGTCGAGATTAAAATTGATAAAAAGAATATATATATTTGATTGAGAGGTGAAAGAAAATATGTTTCAAACAAAATTCAATAAAAAAAAATTGTCTTCCCTTTATACACTTTATCTTAAATAAATATAAAAACGCAATAGTGATGGACAATAGAAGTTTCATGAGTATAACCTATATCGCAATCTTCAGAATAGCTCTTGAGCGTGCTAACAAACATCAAGATAAATTCGTTAAATTAATGCCACTTACTAAAGGCTCTGGTCAACGAAGAGTCTGAATTGAATGCGATGATGCTTAATTGATCGCATTTTATCCTTTTAAACCAAGCAACATGATTCACACGCAATAATATTAGTTTTAATTAAACGTGCATCGTAATAAAAAAGTTTTTAACTACTTTAAAACTCAACATCGTCTGTCTAAATGCAAATAGTTTTGTTCATAAAAATTACTATCGTTGAAAAAGACATCGAAACTGCAAGTGTTTAAGTTTGGATATATTCTGGTTTGAAGTGTACTTTTGGTATTAGTTTTATGTCAAAATGAATTACTAAAAAGAATGCTCCCGGAATTAATTATTAATAATAAATTTGTTTTTATAGTACAAATGCAGCCACCAAGATTCACAATGCAACCCTCATCTTCAAACAGTATAGTAAGAGAAGGCACAACAAAAATTCTTCAGTGTTCAGCAATTGGTATTTAAAATAAAATAAATAATATGTTATTTGTCATACATTTATCAAGTTATTAATCTTTCTGTCGTTTATTTTAGGCATACCACAGCCAATGTACAGATGGCTTAAAAATGGTGTTCCGATTGGAGATTATTCATCGGAGTTGTTTTTTAAAATACATAACACTCAACGGCAGGATGCAGGAGCTTACCAGTGTATCGCTAAAAACGACGTCGGAGCGATTTTCAGTGAAAAGAACAACATTGTTGTCGCTTGTGAGTAATAATATTTGTTTATAGAATGATCTCTTAGTAAATAGTAAGGCTACGTTATTTGACACTAAATTTTTCTTTATTTCATATTCCTTAACAGATATGGGTGTTTTTGAGAACACTTTGGAACAAGTGGTAACAGTTGAGTCTGGTAAGGCTGCGATTCTCGACTTCCCACACATCGAATCAGATCCACCTCCATCAGTTATATGGCAGGATGAGAACGGTGTGAACGGCGTGCTGAGATACGATCAGAAGTATGCTATTACTGATAAACACCAACTCGTTATTCTATGCTCTTCAAAGGACGACCAAAGAGCTTATAGGTAACACAATACACTACTATTAATTGTCTACCGCAATCGTTCGCAATATTTTAATTAATTAAATCCATAACTTCACAGAGCAAGAGCGATTAACACACAATTAGGTAAGGTAGAAAATAGTCCGTACATCAGGCTGATAGTCGACGGAGATGACAACAAGGAAATCGCCCCAGAAATAATAATTAAACCGCAAGACACAAAGATAATTAAGGGTCAAGAATATACAAACGTTTATTGTATAGCGAATGCTAGACCGCTGCACGAATTAGAAACATTATGGTTCAAAGACGGCGTATTGATCGATTTGGCGGGCATTACATACGACCTGAATGATCAATGGAACCGAACGTTGAGTCTCATATCGGCTAATTTGAACCATACTGGGAAGTACACGTGTCAAGCTAGGTTAAAGTCCGGGGGATTTGCCACAGTAACCGCATCAGCTACGGTCACAGTATTCGAAAAGCCGGTTATGTCGACTAGCCTGAAAGCGGAGACTTTCGGAGAGTTTGGAAGCTCGGTTGTATTAGAATGCAACGTTCAAGGCATTCCAATGCCGAGTATAACCTGGTATAAAGATGCTAGGAAAATAGCTAGCGTTGGCGCGGATGCTGATAGCGATAACTCCGACGTAGACGACGGCGGAGGCAGGTATAGGGTGGATGTAGATCGATCGCTGGTCATCAGTCACCTCAAGATGGAAGACATGGGAATATATCAATGTATAGCCAACAATGCAGCCGGCGAATCATCAATCTACTCCTGGTTGAAAATAAAGAGTGAGTACCGTTCATATATTTATATGAGAAGAACCGTAGCAAAATTTATAGTGTTATTAACATGTTAACTATCGAACAGCGAATGAAAATATTCGGAAACCACGTAGTCATATGAAGTTAATAAGAATGAGGACGGCAGATAAAAAGGCAAAAACTTTCAGATTTGATACCGGCAGTAAGCAATTTATTGGTGTATTAATGCACTGTTTTAATTATTTGTTTGTCACAGTGTTCGCTTTATTGTTTTGAAACAGAACCACCATCGTCACAATCGATTACTAGAATTTGATTTTGTTTTAGATGTTTTTTATATTCACCGTCATTCTCGTTACTGGGATTTGATATTCGTCTTTTGTACGTCACTTGTAATTTGCATATCTTGTTTAATATGTAGATAGTGCCCATCGTATCTTCTTACTGCATGTGAATATTATATTATACTTATTTGCTTGTCAGATGTAATTTGAATTAACTATTATTATGTCAGCCATATTCTTTTTCTAATATTTCAACTGTTTTATCACAGTATATTTCCTATATTATTATATTACTTTTATGTAATCAATATAAAGCCTTATTAGTATTATTCACACACAATTCTGTGTGTAATTCAAAGCGATCATCCTTGAACTGTATTTAGAACGGTCGGTGAAAATTTGTTTTCCGATGACTTGCATTAATATTGGGTTAAATATATTCGGGTCATTGTGTAGATTATTAACACGTTAACCATTTAAGCAGCATGGTAGTAAGGTTTACAAAAAAAAAAGTTTTTCATTTAACTGTAATAATGTTTCAACAACAAAGCCTTTGTATGCAAGGATTTTTATCAAAAACAATAAACATACATTCCAATACATCTCATATATTCAACATTAATATTTATATACTTCGAAGATACTTGCATGACGTAATTCATTATATCTTATTATGTATTATTTACAATTATAACTAACAGGCTTTTTTTAATTTAAAACATTAACATAGATGATAATTATATCTATATAAATATAAAGTAGTGTGTATCGCTTGTAATAAGTGAGTGTGTGGCTTGTAGCGTCCCCGCCAATAATGCAGACAGGCCCCACAAACCTCACAGTGCTGGACGGTAAAGATGCAACCATAAGCTGCAGGGCCATCGGCGCCCCGACTCCCAACGTAACCTGGTACTTCAATGGTATGATATATCGTAATATATTGTAATGTAGCGTTATGAATTATTAGTATACAGTACAATAATGTATATACACGATAAGTATATATGATACATAATATTAAATATTTATGGTGTATCCACACAAAGTGGATTATCCGTAACCTAATCGTTTCCCTGACGCGGGTTAAAACTAGACGTCATATTTCACTGAATTATATATTAACAAACAGAATTAACTTTCTAAGGATGTAAAGCTAAATCAAAAATCACCAGTATAATTATTTAAATTACTGTGATATTTCATGAAAATACATTCATAGTTTTTGAGTTCAATTGTAACATACATTTCACAGACATATCCATTAATCTTATTTGGATATGAATTTTTTTATTCATAAAAACTTAACTGTTTAAAACAAAAATACTCTTATTGCATAAATATTCAAAATAGCAGAAACTTATTAAAAACGTTAAAGTAGTCATAAAGATTAAAGTAAACAAAGCCGAGTCGGTTATTACTCTATAAGCGAGTTATTAAAATTTTCGGTGTAAATATCGCAGATTCTCTCATTATAAATCTGTCTGGGAGACTGCAAGCCTTAGACGAGGGAGACTTGTTGATTACGAGCACAACCACAGCGGATAGCGGGAAGTATACTTGCATACGTGCGAACGACGCCGGGAACGTTTCAGGCGAGGCGTACCTTACAGTGCTCGGTGAGTATAATTAATTTACTCAGTTAAGAGAATTTATGTTATATGTGATGGTGACCTGGTGATTTCTCAGCTTTTAGCCAGGGTCTGCCTTACATGTTGTGAATAGTTTTGGCTAATTGTTTTTACGACTGGCCGCCTGCCTGACATCAACCCTCTTTTGGAAATCAACATTTATCAGTGATGAATAATCTTAGAAAGTACATATAACTCGGAAAAATCACATTGGTACTTGTCCGGGCCAGGATCGAACCCGCGCCCTCGTGCATGAGAGGCGGGCCTTTTAACCACTAGGCCACCACTGACTTTGTTATATGTTAATATATTTTTTTGTATTTCAGTGAGAACACAAATAATCGCTCCGCCTGTGGACACGCGCGTTCTTTTAGGGCACACGGCCACGCTGCAATGCAAGGTATCCAGCGATCCGAACGTGAAGTACAACATCGACTGGTTCCACAACAAACAGTTAGTAACAGTAACAGATCCATCACTGACATACGATCACATCTTCACGCTCATGATTTACACGCACTGCCTATTTTAATAAACAAATAAAAGTAAAAGTTACCAGCTACGTTAGAAAGTATCTCCTATATTTATATTAGATATATATATAAATACTTTTAATTTCACTTTCGATGAAACTGTCGTGGTTATTTTTCTACTGCTCCAATCTATTTGCGTTTAATTTTTACGAACAGTATGAAACGTGTATTCCGATGCTAAGAATAATAGGCTCGGAAAACAATGGTACATTGATAGAACATTTTTTTTAAAATACATATCTGTTATTCTATCCTGTTCCAGAGAACTGCAATCTATTCTTAATTTAAATAGAATTTTCAATCTATTTATTGTGTCTATGGAGGTTTTAATGAATTGTTTTTTTTTTTTGTCACCCAGGCCTATGACGGCGGGTTCCCGCGTGTGGGTGTCAGTGGACGGCTCGCTGCAGGTGCAGGCGGTGCGCGCGGGGGACGCGGGGGAGTACACGTGCGTGGTGACGTCACCGGGCGGTAACCACACCCGGCGCGCGACCCTCTCCGTCATCGAGCTTCCCTTCTCCCCGTCCAACGTGCGCGCGGACCGGCTCGCGAGCCCCCAGCGGGCCGTCAACGTGTCATGGACGCCCGGCTTCGACGGGAACTCACCCATACAGAAGTTCATCGTACAGAGACGCGTCGTACCCGAATTCGGTTTGAAACTTACCCTTATAGTATGCAGTTTACATATGATAGAATAGTTTCGTTACTCGATCAATTTTTCAGGTCCCATCCCCGACCCTCTACTGAACTGGGTGACGGAACCAATGAATGTATCTGCGAATCAACGCTGGGTGTTATTGACCAGTCCTGAAGGCGGCCACTTCGTACCAGTTCCGAGTGTCGGCGGTGAACACGGTAGGCGAGGGCCCACCTTCAGATCCCACGGACGTGCTGACACTACCTCAAGAAGGTATAAAAAAAAACATAATTTAACATTGTTCTATTACTGTCGTCACACATAATAAACTTCACATCTATGATGGGAACTCAATGTTTATATGTATTTATTTTCAAAATGTTAGATGTAATATATAAGTATAAAGGATCAAAGATATTCAATACATTTCTTTTTAAAAGCAGCCAGCGACATAATATGCTGCCAAGGTATGCAGAAATGTGAAGCCGTTTGGCGTCTTATATCATATAAATTTATTCCTTATTTTTGCTTATCTAGAAAGTCTAGAACCTAATAGTGTAAACAATGTGAAACTTCTATGTATTTTTTTTATATTTTAATTCATGTCTCTATCTTTCTTTATGCACGATATGCCTGCATCTTTTATGTGAATGTCGTTAAGTTGTCACATCAACTAATGGTAATATTTGTGCATCCGAACACGCCCGAAGTAGCTACCGCTTGCATGTATCTAATTAACTTGAACTCTAATCATTGTGTGAGGAATTAAAAATAAGGTTATTTGCAGCTCCATCCGGTCCGCCGTTAGGATTCATGGGTTCAGCTAGATCTTCATCCGAAATTATAACCCAATGGCAACCGCCGCTAGAAGAACATAGGAACGGCCACATACTGGGCTATGTCATAAGATATCGACTGAAAGGCTACGAGAACAGTCCGTGGACCTACCAAAATATAACAAATGAAGCCCAAAGAAACTACCTCATACAAGATCTGATAACGTGGAAAGATTACAACGTGCAGATAGCGGCGTACAACGACAAAGGTGTCGGAATGTTCTCCGACAGTTACACCATCAAGACTAAAGAGGGCGTGCCCGAAGCGCCACCGGCCAGCGTGCGATGTGACCCGTACAACTCAACAGCCATACAAGTGTGGTGGACCCCGCCCAACCCACAAAAAATCAACGGAATTAATCAAGTATGTTCATTTAAAAAAAAAAAATTCGTTATTATTTTTTTAATAATAACGAATAATCTTAGAAATAATTCAAATAACATTTTAATTTCAAAGGGCTACAAGATCCAAGCGTGGCTTTGGGATGACTCGCAGAACGACAGCGTCGAACAGAAGCTGGTCAGTGTACCGCCTAATCTTTTGGATCCCCTCACGGAGCAGACAGCTATTATTAATGGATTGGAAAAATTCACTGAATACAATATATCAGTTCTGTGTTTCACGGAACCGGGGGACGGACCTCGCAGTGAATTTATTAGCGTGAGGACGAAGGAAGATAGTAAGTAAATTTTTAATAGTTTTTTAAATACTTTACAATTGCCTCCCCACCTCATTTGCAAGAAACTTAGGAATTTTAAACTAATCGGAAAGCTATATATTAATTAATTTGTTATTAAATTCTAGTTCCGGATGAAGTAATGAATCTTCAATTCGACGATATATCTGACAGAGCAGTGAGAGTGTCGTGGTCTCCGCCGAAGAAGTCCAACGGCGTGCTAATCGGATATAAACTTAAATATCAGATTAAAGAGAACCCTGAAACTTTTAAGGAAGAAATATTACCTCCCAACGTTACAAGTATTAGAGTGGAACATTTGCAGGTAAAACTAATATAATTAATGTGTATCCCATTACGAATTACAAGTTCAGTCCATGTTCGAGAGCTATTATTTTATAGTGTTTGACAGTGTACTGAAGATGATCATCAAATATATTTAGAATAAAAATATAAATGAAACATTTAACCTTAAATTATCTCATTGGATCATAAAATCAACAAAAAGTAAAAAAATATATAGTTCCATATCACGAACATTAATATTAGAGAGTAGCTTTTGCCGCGACTTCGTCCGCGTGGTATAGTGACTTTCGGCAGATTTTTGGTTCTTCCCACATAGTTCCCGTTCTTGCGGGGTTTTCGGAATGGTCGAGTTCCCGTAGAGTTTTCAGGATAAAACCTATGTTTTTTTAAAATTCACAATGAAGTACTCTTAACCAACAACATATTTATTTGTTTATTTGAATAAAGATTAATAATATTATGTTGATACAACTTAAACAAATTATTTCGACCAAATTAGGTACCATAAAAACGGTTTTTGTGAGTTAATTTTAAAAGATAGACATATACTGTCGCGGACTGTTTTTTAGATCATTAAAAGAGCTATTATTTTTTAATACATATTTTTTGTGTATCTTGAACCGTTTTCACGGCACACGCAACGGAAGGCTTCAAAGATGAAATAATTTCTCCCGTTTTTTACACATTTACCACTATATCTTTGCTTCTATTGGTCGTAGGGTGATGTTATATAGCCCACAGCCTTCCTCGATAACTGGACTATCCAACACAAAAAGAATTATTCAATTCGAACCAGTAGTTTCGGCGATTAGCGCTTTCAAACAAACAAACAAACTCTTCAGCTTTATAATATTAGTATAGATAAACATAAAAACGTATTTCAAAAATAAATTTATTACTAATAAATAATTAATAAGTAAGAGCGTCAGTTCATCGGAATTCATACTAATTTTATTAAATAGTACTTCAATCATGTTTGTATACCTTCAAAGCCATAGTAAAAATATATAATAGTAAAAATATAATAACATATAGACGTAAATAGTGAATATATATAGTGAATATGTGCACAATAAATAGTCTAATACATACCCATTTCTATATACTAGAAGACCCGGCGAACTTCGTATCGCCCTATAATCAAGAAATATCTGTTACGTTTTTTTATTTATATTTTTGGAGTTTACCTATTAAAGCTATAAATCTCCGTGTTTTTGAAGTGCGACAGAATGATTGACATATTAGTTAGTTGTCAAATCTAATGTCAAAAAAGAAACTTTTGTATCAACAACTACTTATAAATTAAAAAACATTGTCCAGCGGACAAAATTGTGAATCTACACCATTCCCAGATCCCCTTGAACACATACAAAAAATTTCATCAAAATCGGTCCAGTCGTTTGAGAGAAGTTCAGTGACATACACACTCACAGAAGAATTATATATATATGTATATATTTTTGTCCAGGCCAGTACACAGTACCAATTCTGGGTGAGCGCTCTGACGGGTGTGGGCGAGGGCGCGGCGCGGGCGGCGGCGCTGCAGTCCGGAGTGGAGCCCGTGCTGCCGCGAGCACCCACCAACCTCGCGCTCTCCAACATACAGGCTCACTCCGTGCTGCTGCAGTTCACGCCCGCCTTCGATGGAAACTCATCAATATCACTTTGGACCGTTCAGGTACTGGCTTTAGAATGGTTCAGATACTGGCTTTAGAATATTATACAATTTTAAGTAATACTAGCCATTCCATGTATCAAATATTAATGTATGTGTAACATTATTTAATCTCATGTAAGTGAACCTATGTATGTTCTTATGAGAATAAAGATCTTTAACCGTATACATATATATGTTTTCGAATCGACCTTAAAATTATGAAATTTAATATTATGGAGGAGGAGGAAATTTTCTACCAAAAAAAATTTTTTAATATCGTAGACAGTTTTGAAAATAAAAATAATTATTTCTTGAACATTTGCTTTACATGTATGCTGCATATTGAAAAGTGTTCAAGTTCGATAACAAAAGTTGTATAACTGTAAATTAAAAGTAGGAATACAAAAAACCTAGTACAAATATTTCAAATTATCGAAACTAAATACATAGACTTTATGTAATGTGCATCAATGATTTCCAGGCACAAACCGCCCGTAACTCGTCCTGGATAACAATATATGAAGTAAACGCTCCCGACGCTCAGTCGATCCTAGTGACGGGGCTGGTACCTTTTACTACCTATAGACTGCGACTCATCGCTACCAACATAGTGGGCTCCTCTCCACCTTCAGAACCCTGCAAAGAGTTTCCAAACCATACAAGCGCCTCCACAACATCCGCCAAGAAACGTCACCGTTAGAGCTGTCAGCGCCAATAATTTACGCGTTAGATGGATTGTGAGTGTCGGAAAATGTCATAAATATTCAAACACCAAAAACTAAATCATTGTCACTTTAATAACGTAAAATATTTACAGCCTCTCCAACAAAGTGAATGGTACGGCAACCCCAAAGGTTACAACATCACATACAAACGTAGCGGCAGTAATGATACTCTATATAGTATTATAGACGACCACACGGCCAACTCGCATGTATTATCAAATCTCGAGGAGTGGTCCATCTACGAAATTACTATGACGGCTATTAATGAAGTTGGCACTTCTGCTGTCAGTCCTACAGCAACTGAAAGGACTAGGGAAGCAGGTGAGACTAATTATAATATAAATTAATATTACGCTATGCTTAAATTCATGTAAGATACAATTTTATATCAAAACTTATTTTGCGTTAGTGCCATCAAGCGGTCCAATAAACGTATCTGCTAACGCGACATCATCCACCACCGTAGTGGTTCTATGGGGTGATATACCCCTACAAGATCAAAACGGTCTTATCGAGGGATATAAAGTTTGCTACGCCGCTGTCCTACCGCCGCCGCGACCAGAACATAAGAAAGTTGAATGTCATCCGATACCATCCAACCAGACTCATACTGTGACGCTCACGGAACTAAGGAAGTACGTGGTGTACCAAGTACAAGTGTTGGGTTACACGAGGCTGGGAGATGGAGCACTCAGCGACCCTCCAGTTACTGTCAGGACTTATGAGGATAGTTAGTATTTAGGTCATTGAAGTTCATTATACTTAGAAACATTTAATTAATATCAATCTTATAAAATTGAAGAGGTTGTTATTTATTTATGCTAAATTTTGTTAACCTACACTATAAATGACATTTATATACCACTTAGCATAATCTTATATAAGGCTGAAATATGCGCAGTAGGTATTAACTATTAGGCAACTGTAACAGAACAATTGCCATTGGTTTGCTTACTTTATGTTGTTATAGTAAAAGTATAACAGTATAAAGTATTATTGAGCTGTTTTGTCGTAGTACAATGTAAGTTAGGTTTTTAAAATAATTATTTCATATAATTCCAGCTCCCGGTCCCCCGTCGAACGTGTCGTTCCCTGACGTGACGTTCACGACCGCTCGCATCATCTGGGACGTGCCCGAGGATCCCAACGGCGAGATCTTGGCCTACAAAGTCACATATCACCTGAACGGTTCAACGCTTCACATGTTCTCCAAAGAGTTTTTACCATCCGACAGAACTTTTAGGTGATTATTGAGTTTTAAGTGAAGAATTTGTACATATATTAATTTAAAAAAAATGTTAATTTTACCGAAACCCATAAGATAAAATTACCTTTTTTGTATCTGAGTAAGCAATCTCTCATTATACCAGTTTTTTACAGACATAATAATAGTGTTGAAATTTCAATTTATAGGACTATTACATCTGATATGATTCATTATTATCTTTATAGAAAAAAAAACTATTTATTAATGCAAATTCTATTTATTTATAAATATGAATATACATGGACACATACATTTATAAAACATATGCACTTGACAAAAATAGTCAACGTGATCAAGGAGCTTATATAGGTGTAACAATTGAAATTGTATATAAAGGAACTATAATCGGATCCTGAAATCCTTAAAATCATTTAATATCAAATATAAATTATATTTATTTAATTTACAATTAGAATTGTATTAATTCATAATATAATTATTATATTGTATCTTCGAGCTTTAAGAGCATTATGTGTGTATTATATTATATGTATAACTTATCTTTACTGCTGTGGCTCCGTTGCGTACCTTGTTCCATCAACTTTTCGTTTGTTGGAGGAAAAAAAAACTGCTGCTAATAACGAAACTTTTTTCTTTTAATTTAATTTTTTTTTTTTAACTGTTTTTATATTTTTATTTATTTATTTAATATATAATCTAACTGTCACAACAACACTTATTTATAAACTTGTTCACTTCAATTTCAACAACACTTACAGTAGGACCTCGATTATCCGGACTAATTGTTGTCGGTAGGCATCCGGATAATTGAAAGTCCGGATAATCCAATATATGAAGAAAAACGGGCTTTTTGCATATGTACATGTGTAGTCTGTACCATACATACATATGTAATGTTAGGTGTTTATTTAAAACAACAAATACATATGAGCGAAAATCAACGTTTATTAAGAAATTGTACATAAAGTACGTATAAATGTTATAAGTAGGGCCCGGATTAATATATAGATACATATTTTTAATTTACGCGATTTTCGGTCTAGAATGTTTAATATTAATGTATAATATTTAGTCTCGTTTAATATCGTTATTAACATATTAGTAGACAAATTAATCTGTAACGAGAAAAAATGGGGTTATCGGTTTAAGTTTAATAATAAATACACGGAATCCATTTTAGCCTTCGCTGACGATCTCGCAATACTGACACGTAACCCCAAACACTGTCAAGTACTATTGGATGAAGTGGATAAATTCTGTGAGTGGACGGATGGATTGAGGACAAAACCCAGTAAATGTCACTGTCTGTGTCTTGGTAGGCGGAATACAAGATACACCTCATACGATCCGGGACTATCGTTAGGCGGTCAATGCATTTCTACGGTTACGAAAATGCACCATTTAAATTTCTCGGTCGTAAGATTGATAATATAGGCCGTACTCCATCTTTAGAAGGAATAGTAGATAGCTTTTTGAACGATCTTAACAAGGTAGATAGCCAACTGATAAGTAACGTCAAAAAAGCGTGGATCTACGAGAATTACTTAACTTCACGTTTGAATTGGCCTTTCCTCGTCTATGATTTTAATAAAACCCTTTTGTCAAAGTTAGATGCAGGCGTCATAAAGATGTTAAAGTTGTGGCTCGGGCTCGCTCTAACGGCTGATTCATCGGCGTTATTTAGGGGAAGCAATAGTTTTGGGATGAGTCTAAAAAGGCCATCGGAGCTCTATAAACACCTAAGAGTTTCCAAGAGATATATCCTGGGGAAATCCCATGATGACATAGTGACATCGCTCCCAAAAGATGAAGATGCCCCCGAGCTAGAGTCACGACTTCAATTCCATAAGCAATTTATGATAGGAGCACAAAGTAACAGAGCGGGGTTGGATCAAATAGGAAAGTCCAAGATGCGGATATATTGAAGTCTTTTATTCGGCAAGACGAGAATGATAAATATAAGATCCATGCAATGAATTTAGAAATGCAGAACGAGTGGTTAGACATAGGAGATTTTTGCATCCCATTAGCATTAAAATGGCGCACTTTAATTTATGATTGGTCGCCAGCATTGCTAAAATTCTATCTCAATGCGTTCCAGATGACTCTCCCAGATCAGAGTAATTTAGTAAGATGGGGTAAAATTACCGAAAAAACTTGCTATATCTGTGGAAAGGCAGTTGGAACTGCTAAGCATCTGCTGGTGGGATGTAAGGTACTCCTGGACAGCGGTCAATACTCGCGTCGTCACGATAGGGTTCTAGAAGTCATACGTGAAGCGGTTAGTCTTTCGGTAGCCAGAGCGCAAAAGGAAATAACCACAAACGAACGATCAGTAGGTTTTGTGAGAGAAGGCACTAGGGCTACAAAATCAAACGTCAAGCCTTACTCCATCCTTAAAGCGGCGTCGGATTGGACTATAATGATGGACACGTATGAAAAGCAATATAAAATCCCCGAGGATATTTGTGCGTCGGCCTCCAGACCGGATATATTTTTGTTTTCGCGAATTTTAAAGCGCGTAGTGATGATAGAGCTTACGGTCCCTTGGGAAACCAACATCCCCAAAGACCATACCATCAAGGTCAACAAATATTACGAGCTCACAAACGAACTCACTCGAAATAGGTTCGTAGTAGATTTGTACGCGGTAGAGGTGGGAGCGAGAGGTATAACAGCGAAATCTCTCTACAACCTACTAAAGAACTTGGGCTTGTCCAGAACTCACATTAATGCATTCTTGGAACGTATATCGAAGGCAGCCCTGGTAGGTTCTTTTCAAATTTGGTTAGGTAGGGAGAGGAGCTTGGACAGTGGAGGTGAGCGTATAACGCGCGTTAGTTAAGGGGCCCCTTAAACCTACACTTGGGTCGCAAGTCCCAGGCACGGTGAATCCATGGAATGCTTAGTAGTTTCGTCTCGTCTTTTACATGGATTGTCATATTTAGACTGTGAAAAGCCAACTTTTATTTTCCGTATTTTACCATATTTCAAAGTTAAGTCCATATTTTACAAGAAAATATCACAATCATCCATATTATATTCACAAAAAAACATAAAATTTACGTTCCCGCCACTAATGTTTTGAATAAAAAAAAAGGATTTAAAACGCTAAAAAATTAACAAAATTCTCTGCCAAAGTTTCGAGGGCTGTAGACATGGCTTACACAATTACTGAATTAAGTATGCTTAAGTATGCACCCATCACGTCATGTGAGTGGAGAGATCATTCAGCAAATATAATGCCAAATGGTCAGTTTTCATTTTGATAATTTAAAGAAGCACGTCATTGTGTATTGCAACCAATTTGATAAAGCTAGTGTAATGGAAGTTGAATAAAACTGTTATTTTTTGTTAAAATAAATATTTCACTCCTTTTTTTCATCGTTTTTTAAATGTAACTTAACGATGTCGTCACGAGCGACCCTTTTTTATAGTAAAACAATGTTTAATTATGAAATTATTTAATTTTATACTCCATATTATTTCCATATTTTTTGATGTTTTCGTCCATATTTTATGTACATATTTTAGATTTTTTAATACATATTTATCCGGGCCCTAGTTGTAAGTGGCGTGGCGTTATGAAAGTTTTGACATGTTAGTGTTAGAATAAACTCGTCGCGATCGGCAGTCCGGATAATCGCGAATTCGGATAACCGAGGTCCGGATAATCGGGGTCCTACTGTATTTATAAACTTGTTCAGTCAGGTTCAAAGGGTACCATCGAAAACCAGCATAAGCTGAATGGTATACCTTTTTGGGACACGCGTTATGTATTTTAATGTTTATTATTTATTTATTAATTTTTTTGTTTTGATTTTTTTATATCCTACTTTTATATTTTTTCTCATGTTTTGGTGTAAATTAGTCATAAGTTTTATAGTAATTAGTCATAAGTTTTATACGTGTCTCAAATAAAAACTTTCTTTCTTTCTTTTCTTTCTTTCTTTCTATAACACTATATTAATATAATTTTAATCATTAAATGTTCAGGGCGACCGAGCTAGCCTCAGAGCAGTACTACGTGTTCTCGGTGAGAGCTCAAACCCGCGTGGGGTGGGGAGGCACGCTGCGGGCGCTTGTACTGACGACTGCCAACCGCGCCGCGCCCGCGCCGCCCGTCACGCCCAACGTGGCGCGATCACTGCTACAACCGCATCATATCACCTTTTCATGGACGCCCGGAGACGATGGATACGCTCCACTAAGGTCTCATACATTATTAACATTACACTTATATAAAATGTTAGAAATAATAACAATTACTAACAGTCCAAATGGGCTATCTAATATTTTTCCACTGTTAACTTTATTTATAGTAACGATTTATAGAGGGATAATAAATTAATCTCGAACGTCTTTAAACCTTACAGATATTACACGATACAACAGAAAGAAGAAGGCGGCACGTGGCAGACTCTCCCTGAACGCGTGGATCCGTTCGCTACCTCGTACACTGTGGACGGACTGAAACCGTACACCGCCTACCAGTTCAGGATACGAGCTACCAACGACATCGGACCCAGCAGATATAGTAATGCTACTGAGACCGTTAGGACCTTGCCAGCTGGTTAGTGTTATCATGACTAAAAAACTCTTTAGCTCAAATAATAATGAACTGGCACATATAAAAGTATGCAGTAATTCATAAAAACTATATAACAAACGTGTCCTTAGACTGTACTGAAATTTTTGACCCTGACATACAACTTTAATTACCATGTTATGAGGCTAAATATTTGTCATTCTCCCTATTTTTGTTACGACTTGTTTACTTTATAATTAATTATTACATAAACAATCTTTAAAACAACAAACTGCAAACATATGATGGTCTGAATGGTATAAAAAAAATCACTCCTACATTCCAGCCCCAAGCAAAGCAGTTGAAAAGTTGGTAGTAGTTCCCATAACTCCGAGCAGCGTCCGAGTACAGTGGCGCGCGCTCGGCGAACAACACTGGAGCGGGGACACGCGCACCGGAGGGTATTCAGTGTCCTATCAGCCTCTAACTGACTTCACCTCTCTTCAACGCGCTATGAAGAGAGAAGTCCCCGGGATTAAGGTAAAAATGTCTTTAATACATTTCGGTCGCATTGAAAATGTATTTTGATTCCAAATGAAATAAGTATGATTAGGTTATACGTCCATCCTATATTTAATACTAAGCTAATATTTTCCAACCAACAGTCAGAAGAGGTGGTTCTCACGGATCTAGCGGTGGACCGTAACTACGAGATCAGCGTGTGTGCGGTGAACTCTCAGGGCGCGGGTCCTTTAGGCGCTCCGGCCGTGGTGTGGGTGGGGGAGGCTGTACCTACGGCGCCGCCCCAACAAGTGGAGGCTAGGGCTCTCTCACCCACAGAAGTAGCGCTCACTTGGCATCCACCGCTGCAGGCGCAACAGAACGGAGACCTGCTCGGTTATAAGGTATTATAATGCGTTTGATTAAAGCTGAACTTTACATTTGTGTGAGTGCACACAGATAGTGTAGGTGTGATGTCAAATTTTTTTAATGCAACGTTCTTTTCTGATTTTGAACCGGTTTATACTGCTTTTACTCCACCCCGCACCTTCCGCACTTCACCCTTTGCACTGGTAGCAACGTCAAATATTGAAAACGCAATGTCAAGTGAAGAATAATTTATATAGTTTTTTTTAATTTTTTATTAATAAAATATTTTTCTTCTATAATATTTCCATCTGGCCTCTTACAAGTTTTGCTTGTTTTATTTTAAATCTAAAATATTTCTCGTTTATGTCTATACATAATGTATGTATGTCCCTACATCAGATTATAAGAAGCAATGTTAGCAACTAGTTATATTTAGTGTTATTAGAGACTTCTCAGTTTTGTTTTTATTTAATTTAATTTCATTATATTTTTATTTTTTCTTCTAATGTTCAATTTTGTAGGAAATAGCTTATTATTAATTGTAGATCATTTGTGATGTTACACATTTCAAAACTTAGCTTCAGCTTAGAATTTTTAGAATATCTCTCCTGTTATCTGAGGTAATATTTTATGGAAATAACGTTTCACTCTTTAGATCTTCTACCTAATGACGGAATCTCCCGAGGAACCTGAACCAGGACGTCGTGCTGAGGAGGAAATTGAAGTGGTTCCCGCAACAGCTACGTCACACTCACTAGTGTTCCTCGACAAGTTCACACAGTACCGAATACAGGTATACTTATAATATTTTTATATCCGGCTTTTAATTTAACACCTCTTTATATGACTTAGATTTACATAGGTAACATGTTATACAAGTTTTTGAGCTAAGTTCTGTATTTCGTATACATACAAGAAAGTCTTCAAAATATGATTTAGTTCTTAAAGTTTTAAAACTCTTTGCCTCTAAGTGTTGTCTATTCAAAATCTCTAAATATATTTAAAAAACGATTAAGAACCCATATATTAGATGATTTCACTGATCTTGTTTAATATCACTACTGTTTATTATTTGTAATTTTAATTGTAATTATAGTTTTTAAAATTTCCTTTGTAAACGAACTTTGTTCTTTTTTGAAATAAACTTCTTTAAACCTAAAGTATCAATATTTACTAAATTATATTTCTATTAATGTTTTCTACCAGGTTCTAGCGTTTAATCCGGCGGGTGACGGTCCTCGCTCGACTGCCATACAAGTGCGGACACACCAGGGCCTCCCTTCAGCTCCTCGTAACATAACATTTACAGACATCACAATGAACAGCCTCGTGGTCTCCTGGGAGCCGCCGCAGAGACGGAACGGACTCATACACTCGTACCTCGTCACGTACGAGACTATAGAACAGGACGAACGTATGTACTGGATTTATTATTATTTATTATTTTACATATAAGGTATATCATGTAAGGTATATCATTGAGGATTTTCAAAGTAAACTACAATTTATTTCTCTGAAAATACAAAGTTTTATTTTATTTAACAAGCCTTTACAGTATTATAACAATATTATAACAATTAACTGTGACAATTACACTTTTAACTCACCTGGAAATACAAAGAAAAGACATTAAAGTCCACTAATATCACCTCCTCAATTATAGCCCTTAGGTTATCTTTCTACGTTTTAATAAACATAAAGTGCACAAAAACTTAAACATAATCCCGCAATCACATATGTATATATAAAACAACTACAGATGTCTGTGGTTGAGCGATTCAATGTATAGTCGACTTGTTGTGAAAAATAAAATGAATGATTTTTTTTGCCTCAGGTTACATGGCGCCACACCGTTTATGTTTGACAATAGTTTTAAAAATGAATTTATTTAAAAATCGAATATTCGCAGGTTTCAGCAAGCAGGTGAAACAGAAAGTTAACGAGCGACGGCTGGCGGTGGGGACTCTTGAAGAGGAGGTTGAGTATCGGTTCAGTGTGAAGGCGGTGACTGTAGGATCCGGGGCTGCGGCGGAGGCGCGGGTACGGACCGGACCGCAGCCCGGCTCACCCTCACCACCCGCGGCGCTTAAACTCAGGGCTGATGTAGCCGCTCTTACTATGAGGTGGACCAATGGAGCCTCCGGACGAGGTCCTCTCCTAGGATACTACTTCGAAGCAAGAAAGAAAGGTTGGTTGAAAAGAAATGCACGTATTACTATAGAGATTAAGGTTATATAGTGTAGCCATACACGTTATATAAATGAATTATTTTTTTTTTGTCACATCCATGCAGCTAAGGAAACATGGCAAGCATGTAAGTGACTACGATAATAATTATTGCAAAACATATTGGATTAATTACTATTAATTCTATATTCTATATGGAAAATTATACCATTATTTTTGCTTTCAGACGACACCAGATGGGAAACTATAACGAGAACAAGCAACGGTATTCTGGAAGAATTCACGATTTCGTATCAAAGTCTGCTTCCTTCGACCGCGTACTCGTTCAGAGTGATCGCATACAACATGTACGGGATCAGCAACCCGGCGTACAGCGACAAGGTCATCGTGACCCCGTCCAAGCTGTATCTGGAGTACGGCTACTTACAGTACCGACCGTTCTATAGACGCACGTGGTTCATGGTCGCCCTAGCCGCCGCCTCCATCATCATCATTATCATGGTGATAGCGATACTGTGCGTCAAAAGCAAAAGTTACAAATACAAAAGTGAGTAAACTTATATGATAGAATAAATTACTTAATAAGAAAAATATCATGATTTCTAACTATATGCACTATCACAGAGGAAGCACAGAAGACGTTAGAGGAATCTCTGGCCGGTGAGACGGACGAGCGCGGCTCGCTGGCGTTGGACATGTACAGGTCGCGGCAGAATTCAGTAGCGAGTGTGGGAGCCCTGGGAGGCACCCTGCGCCGCAAGCCGGTCCACGGGCCCGCGCTGGGCAAGTCCCCGCCGCGGCCGTCGCCCGCCTCCGTCAACTACCGCAGCGACGAGGAGAGCCTCCGCGCCTTCGACGACCACCCCGACGACTCGTCCCTCACGGAGAAGCCGTCGGAGATGAGCTCGTCCGACTCGCAGGTGATCACCATCAAAATATCCGTCGTCTGAGCCTACGCCTAACTAAACGTATTGTTTCTTTTCCCCCTTACCGTCGATCGGATCTCCGGTAAATATTTTTAACGATATCGCATCTGTTTAGTTTATCACGCTTACTTAAAAGCTAGCACTCTACGGCTTATAGGATTTATTGGTTGCATGAAGGTAAAACTTTGTTAATTGAATCCCGCTGTTGTGAATAAATCCGTATGTGTCATGTATATAAAAATATTTATGGTAACAATTAAATATAAATGTTTCACATGTGCTATTGTATCACGATTATTGTATACTATATGTAATATAAAACTAAATATCGTTGATATATATATTTATTCCAGTATCTTATTATCGTGGACTGTTTATTCCCTTCTTAAACAATGCTTTACTTACATACAACTATATCTAATAGAGTAAGTTAGTTTTTGCTATCTTTCCCTAGTGTTTAAAAGTCGCTATATTTGATACATATCCGTAGTTTCACATAATGTTTTTATTAAATCGCTAAAGTAAAAAAAATCAATTTTAGTAGACCTATTGCTTCCTTTAAAATAGAATAAAAAATAAATTGGAAACATTAAACTTTACAACCCTGTCCCGTTTTAAGACGACCTAATTAGTAATTCGCCCAAAACTATAAATCATCGATCTGATAGATATTATTTTTACATCCAGAACTCTGAGAGCGACAACGAGAGCGTTCGATCCGAACCTCATTCGTTCGTGAACCACTACGCTAACGTGAACGACACGCTGCGTCAGTCCTGGAAGAGACAGCGGCCCGTGAGGAACTACTCCAGCTACACGGACTCGGAGCCCGAGGGCAGCGCGGTCGTCAGTCTTAACGGCGGTCAGATCGTCATGAACAATATGGCACGCTCCAGGGCTCCACTGCCGGGCTTCTCGTCGTTTGTATGACAGGAGCCGATCGACACAGCGCCCTCTACCGCTGTGCACATATAACATACAGTACACTGCCCACTCACTCCCAATGAACTATGTAAATATCGTTAGTCGAGTCTTATAACGAGCTGACCTCCGGGACGTACTCCGCTCGTCCGATGGTTCACATTCGAAATTCGAATATTGTATGAACATAATATTTTATACAATGTATAAAAATATATTTTAAATTAAAAAGTTTTATAGTGTTAATGAGATGTAGTCTATAAGGATCGTGTATGATTGCTTTAACTAGAAGATCTCGCTGGATCGTAATAATAAATATATAATAAATTGCGTTTTATATGATGGCGGCTATGCGAGTTTAAATGTTGAAGTATTTACTACTTAAATTGTTACTGAATAATATAACTGCTAATATTCATATCATGAGATAACTTGGAAAGTAATAGCTAAATATAATTGTTCGTTGTTTAAAAGCAATAAAAACTAGCGATAATTTTTTACTATTGTATCTTATCGATTGTAGCAATCATTCCATTTTAGGCGTTTGACTTATAAAGAGAAGATATTTATTATGTTTGAGGATATGACTTTAAGAAACCTTCTGTCAGAGATGTACTTAATTCCAAATATAGTATGTGGAATACAATGAGATTACGTAATTATCATAAGAACGAAAAAATTGGTTTTGAATAACCTAACTCAAATTCTTATTTCGAAATTGACAGACATGTTTTATTTTAGGTTTTATTTATTGGTCGATAAGTGTTTGTTGTGTAAAATGATTACAGTAGGACCCCGATTATCCGGACCTCGGTTATCCGAATTCGCGATTATCCGGACTGCCAATCGCGACGAGTTTATTCTAACACTAGCTTTTGCCGCGACTTCGTCCGCGTGGAATAGTGACTTCCGGCAGATTTTTGGTTCTTCCCACATAGTTCCCGTTCTTGCGGGGTTTTCGGAATGGTCGAGTTCCCGTAGAATTTTCAGAATAAAACCTATGTTTTTTTTATTCACAATGAAGTACTCTTAACCAACAACATTTTTATTTGTTTATTTGAATAAAGATTAATATTATTATGTTGATACAACTTAAACAAATTATTTAGACCAAATTAGGTACCATAAAAACGGTTTTTGTGAGTTAATCTTAAAAGATAGACATATACTGCCGCGGACTGTTTTTTAGGTCATTAAAAGAGCTATTATTCTTTAATACATATTTTTTGTGTATCTTTAACCAAAGGAACCACGCAACGGAAGACTTCAAAGATGATATAATTTCTCCCGTTTTTTACACATTTACCACTATATCTTTACTCCTATTGGTCGTAGCGTGATGTTATATAGCCCACAGCCTTCCTCGATAACTGTACTATCCGACACAAAAAGAATTAATCAATTCGAACCAGTAGTTTCGGAGATTAGCGCTTTCAAACAAACAAACAAACTCTTCAGCTTTATAATATTAGTATAGATTAACATGTCAGAACTTGCATAACGCCACGCCACTTATAACACTTATACGTACATTATGTACAATTTCTTAATAAACGTTGATTTTCGCTCATATGTATTTGTTGTTTTAAATAAACACCTAACATTACATATGTATGGTACAGACTACATATGTACATATGCAAAAAGCCCGTTTTTCTTCATATATTGGATTATCCGGACTTTCAATTATCCGGATGCCTACCGACAACAATTAGTCCGGATAATCGAGGTCCTACTGTATTTAGGTTCTGATATTAAGAAATACTGAAATGATTTCTGTGGTCCTGTCCTCACTACTTACAATAGAAATATACTAAAGACATGATAACACATGCATATCACTGATCAACACTTAACTAAACATAACTTCAATATTTTGACAATTGTTGTCAGTTGTTCCTCTAGAGTCTAGATGCAGGACAGAATAATTTAAGGAAAAAAAATACTTATTCTTATTTGTATTTCAGATACTTATGTATAAGTATGTGACATCTCTGCGTTCTAGTAACTTTTAAATAACCTAGCTTAAGGGACATACATAAATTTAGAATAACTATTTAAAACAAATCAAGTTTATATACATTAACTAATTACCTTGTCAAAGTAAGCACTTCTATATCAAGTGCAAATAATTGTATCCTTAGACTGTACAATTTGTACAACAATTTATGAATTTAATATTTGAGCACCCTTGCTTATTTTGAAATAGTTTACTATTAGAGTTGTATGTTTTATACAAACGCAACATTCATTGCATTTCTATGTATGTAATAGGAAAATTATATTGCTTACATTTATAAAATGCGTATTGTATTATTGATGCCGAACTGAACGTAAAATGAACTTAAGTCAAATAGTTTTTTTTTTTCAAACAGTTATTAGTCTAATTTCATAATATTTGTGTAAGAACTTGCAAATGACTGATAGTGTTAGATAATCATTCATGAATTGGTGTAAATATTAATCCTATGGCACAATTATTTTGAAACTGTGATCTATATTTTATTTTCAATAAAATCATTAAGTTACATATAGCAATAAGTCGGGCAGCTATAAGACGATTTCAATTGTATGTTGTGTAGAAATATTCCTAACATTTTAAGCACCAATGGATTGTTAAGCATTTATCTCATATGATAAGACTACATTTGAATACCACCAACTGTTGTTAAAATTTTACAGAACACTGGTGCCATTTTACTAGCAACCTAAGCTAATTTTGTATTATCCTTGTATAAATTATTTTATTACACGGTATTTTTAATTTTTTTTAATATACAAAGAATAGTATTCAATTAAATTATGTTAATTGCTTTAGACGTTTTATTACAACCCAATTATTTTTTTGCTCTTGACAAAACTTAAAAATGCATGTTTTCTGAGGTATTAGAAAGCCAAGTTGGACTATATTGATACTTGATAGCTTCTGGAATTCTAGATAAAACGGTAGACCTTATGATTGATATGAAAAAAAAAATTGAGTTATGAATTATGAATATTGAGAACATAACAGCTGTGTCAACAATGTAATGTTTCCTTGACATGACAGTGTTGTTTAAAATGATGGTTATTGCGTGATGATTCTTTTTTTAAGCTGTGCTATCGAAATAGTCTTTGTTTATTGTTAATTTAACTCACGTGTTTGATTTTATGACATTTTTAAAGGAAACCAACGCATTAATCGTCATGTAATCAAGTAATCATAGGCCTAAAATGCATTGATATCTTGGAACAGCTGATACTCTCACATTGTTAGACTGATATAACAAAACATGACTAAGAGTCATCACATAGAAACTAACTTTCAAATAAAATTAACCGTATCGAAATCGGTCGATCCGTTTGAAAACTACGATGACACATACAAATGTACCTCAATTCTATAATAGTCGTCTTTTTATGTCAGGGATTTAAAAGGAATATCCTAACTAAATATGAAGATACAAAATGTAACATGAAATTCCTTTAAAAATTAAAAACAGTTGTATTATTACAAATTTATTTCTTACATACAATAATGTTTACTTAAACTATATACTAAGTTTTAACTAGAGAACTATGTCATATCAGCTAATACAATATTTTTTTCACAAAACTATGTATATAATTTATAATATTCTTCTGCGAAGATTTTCTTTTTGTGTCAGTGTCAGCTTTAAAGTAGATTAAAAATGTAAAGCATTAATAAATATAATAAATACTTAACATGAAATTGAAGCTGACTTAACTGATACTTCAACCCAAACTTAATCACAATGTATACAATTTACAAGTGTTACCAGATGGGAAATGTAACTTATTTCGTTGCCAAGTCTCTATCTTGCAAGTCTTTCACTTTTTCGAACACTGGCACTACTATTATTATCATTGTGTAGATTCGAATAGCTTTTCACGAAAAAATTTTATTTTTTGCGCAAAGAATGCTTCTAAACCATCAGCACACCGATAAAACTCTGAGTCTTTTGGATTAAAATAACGACAGTTATCAAATATTTTAGTCATATCACCAATGAATTCACTTAATGTACTATAAGTTTTTTCATTCACTTTTCTTTCCACTGTTTGTAAATCTGAAAATGAAATTTTATTTATAATCAAATCATAGGCAAGATTAAATATTTCTTTCATTATGGCCAAAGTCACTTACCCATTGGTTCTTTTATAACTTTATAATACGTAGGAGCCTCTCTAGGATCAACCGGCTCCATAAAAGGCCAAGCATTTTTGTGTAATTGTATCTGCTTCACAAGTCTTTTAAGATGCTCAAAATCTTTAGGAGTAAGTTCTTTCATATTTGCGAAATTGACAGAATTATTTTTCTGACAGTTTGGACATATGTACTCATCAATATTATCGGCCTCCGATTGCAATATACCAACACACCGACCGTGGAACCAGTCTTGACATCGGTCACAACAAATATAAAATCTGCAAAAGTAAAGCATATTAAAAATGTATATCCATATTTGTTTATAAATAAACGTTCTTTGGCATTGTTAAGTTCCGTAATAATTATTTTTAACATACTGAGAATTGTCGTAAGGTTGACGGCAGAGACAGTATAACTCCTGAGTCTCTTCAGCCCTCCTACATTCAGTGCATACATATTCCTCCATAGTTTTACTCATCTCTTCAGTTACGCCAACACAATCTCCATGGAACCAGTTACTGCAGTGCTCGCAACCGACGTAAAATCTGAACAAAATAGTTTGTAATTTATGAGTATAACAAGGGCTTATTATAATTATGTTTTTCATATTGACATGACAGTACAAATACACACTTAGTGTTGTCATAAGGAGTGCGACATATACACAACAGCTTCTCTTTCTTGGTGGTCTTCTTGTGCGCGCGAGGCGAGGGCCCAGCCGTCCGTCTCTTGCCGCGCACCTCTTCCTGTTTGCTACGCTCCGCACGTGTTCGCAGCGCCAACTCCGCAGATAGTTCTTTCTATCAGTTGTAAGATAAATGACTTTAATAATTGCAACCAAGTGTAAAAAATTAAATTT